TTTTTTTTTTTTTTTTCATGGATTGATAATTTTATATATTTTTCTGGTAGATTTTTTTTCTCAATACAATGATATACAAGGTGATTCAGGTTTAATCTGGATAACTTCAGAAATCGATAAAACAGGTTAAAATAATGTTCATTCATGATGTAAACTTTTATTAAATCGCACCGTTTCAGAGTTAGAAGGCGTTAAAGTAGGAATTTTTTTCCAGTTTTTCTCTCATAACTTTTGAACTTAATAATTCTTTTAACAATGATTTTCACAAACGCCAGTTTATACAAATCACTGTGAGTTTTGTTTTTCATGGGTTTGCTATAACGTTATTGATGAAATTAACGCGGCTGGTTGCTACCTCAGGCTCTATACTGTCACGAATTTCATTGAATATCTCAGAAGCAAGGCCAAATATCGAAAGAAAAACAAGAGACGAAAAAGGTTTAAAATTAATGAGGCAAAGGTGGTGTGCAGCTGTTTTATTGAAATTAATGACCGAAACGGTGCGATTTAGGAAATAAGTTTATATCATGAATGAACATTATTTTAACCGTTCTATCGATTCCTGAAGTTATCCGGATTAAATCTGAATCACCCTATATAATAAGCTCAATTTCGTTTCGACTTTAGCCAAAGATTTACTAGAAAAATATGAAAAATAGTACCATCATATTTGTCAAATACGCACAATCAAATAAAACAGATATAAATGTCATTTAACGCAGAAACATCGTTTCTATACCAATGCATAAAAAAATGTTACAAATGTGGTTTCATTTGACATCAATTTTGTCTTGAAAAAACATATTTTCCAGGCTTAAAAAACTATGATAGTGTGTGCCAATGTATAATAATTTTGGTGCCATCAACGCCATCATTTGTTTTTCAAAATTGGACCAAAAACGTGTGAAGTTATAGCTTACGGCATTTTTTACAAAAACGCCCAGTAAATAGTAGGTATGGAAAACCAATGTGTAGGTATACATTTTTGAGATAACAAGACATAAAAAAATAATAAATAGTACTATTAAATACTGCGCATTTACTAGAATATTAAAAGTTTGAATTTTTGATAAATTCTTTGTATGTACAAAATGATTATAAATAAAACCTGCTGTAAGTTTGACTTGATGGGCGTATTTTATACGATTTATCTTATCTTATATTGACCTGAAAGTTTAATCTCAATTTACTAATAATATTTATTATTTTTTAATATTTTCAAGTTATTTAGAGTAAAATTCTTAAATAGAAAAATATCTGCAGTGTAGGTATATAAAATATGTGACAATGTTTGTTTTATACGTATTTGCAATTTCTTAAATCATGTAATATGTAAATAATACTATGCAAATCTACTATTTTAGGCACAAGCACATTGTTGGCTTTGTTAATCTAATCTTTATCCGTATCATATCCTCAGTATTATTATGATTCATTTGCAAATTGTTTTCCGTCATTCGTTTCTACATTTTAACAAACAGATTCCCTCTCACGTTTAAATTTATGTGAAGGCAAGGTAATTTTGACACCACGTACCAAAGATACCTCGGAGTTGCATTAAAATGATTACATATAGGACAAGAAAGTCCTTTAACATTTACTACATTTTTTGATAACTTTAGGTCGCTTATTGTGGCTAGAGGGCAGCTCAATTAGTGCCTTCAGAATACGTACCACAAAAAGAGATGATGTATTACTTAAAATATTGTAATAAGACTAATAAAGTTACAAATGATAATAAGGACAATAAATTATAAATGATAAATGATTTGTAAGATTCGAGAATGTCGATCGCAATGCCCTGACTGATTGCCAACAAACGGCAAAATTTGTGGATATTCGTCTTAACTTATCTCATAGTGTAGTTTGTAAAGCCAGTGATAACATCATATGAGGAGCTTATAAAACCAATTAATTCTAAACTGCAAATATTTCTAGAATACCAACATTTTCCTATTGCTTAGAGAATCAATTTTTAGATAAAATTAGGTAGCTATATTAAACGGAGTGATTCTTAACTGGTGCAAGCTCCTTAATCTCCATTCTATATTCACCTAATTACTCTTACCTTATTTCGTGTGGCTTGTATAAAATATGCTCGAATTCGCGTAGCCACAGAATATCGCAGTCGCATCTCCAGTGATTTTGAGTTAAATCAACCTGGTCCATGGTCCTGAAAAAGTACTTGTAACTCTCGTTTAACCTCAGCAAGCTATTCCTAGCTAGAGACAAATATTTGGGGTGCAACCTCTCATTCTTGGGGGCAACGTCAAACGCCAGCTCACTGAACGTCTTCAAATTCGGGCAATCGGTGATAGAAAGCTTCTCCAAGGCGAACAAGTTATAGAACGCATAGTGGTGGATCTCCTTTAGAGTCGGCATGCGATTGAGCAACAACTCCTTTAAGGAGTGGTAGTTTAGGTATCTAGCAGAAACGAAGGTAAAGTTGTTGCCTGAAAGGTCCAAGTATTCTACAGAATATGGCAGTGAAGGGATGTTATCTAAAGCATTATTTGCTAAGGACAAATGGGTTATGCCCTTAAATTCTTCGAAGTAAATGTTATGGAAGTCAGATATATTCAAACCATTTAACGACAAACTGGTTATGTTGACGTTTAGACCTAAAGTTTCCGTTAATACATCTTTCGATCCGGTCAAAAATTCTCCCAAGTAATTGTAGCCCAAATCTAAGGATCTTAGTTTTGACAATTTCATAAACACTAAATTTGGGAGCGTTTTCAGTTCGTTGAAACTTAAGTCTAGCTTCTCCAGATTATTCAAGTTCTGGAAGATAGAATCATCGCCCAAACTTGTTATTTGATTATGACTAAGATCTAGCTCACGCAGATTGTAAATGTTCAGGAAGAATTCATCGTTTATGCTCCTAATCTTATTGTGTGACAAATCCAATATTTCCAGATCGTTGCTAACGACTTTTTGAAGTTTGGGGTCCAGCTCCTCTATGTTGTTTACAGAGAGATATAAGTAATTTATGTCTTGATCGACCTTAGCTGGAAAAGAGTCTATATTTAGACCTGAGCAATCGGCGATTACCACTGGAAAATGGGTTTTTTCATCAGTCTTCTGTTTGCACATGCACTTGTACTCCGAGTCATCTCCACATAACTGACCCAGCACTAAACCGTCCACCAGAAACACAAGAAGACATAGTATTTTTAATATTATTTTGAACATCGTCACTTATTAACGCAGTAGATGAGTGTCTCAAAATTAGTTACTTATACCTATCTGTTGATTTATCATTAAATTTCTTATCGCCGGTAACGTGTGACGAAATCGTCGATATTGAGTAAATAATCAGGTAGATATTTATTTTATTGCTATTATTTTTATCTTGTGTAAACTGTAATTAATAAATGAAGATGTGCGACGACACCAAGAAAGATAAAGGACAGAGGCACGGTTTTTTTTGTTGCTTGTCTCACAAATTTAAGCCCTAATGATTGACAGGTTTATTTTTAAGAGAGTTCTAATATAAAAATAAGTTACTAGACAGAAATTAATAATGTTACATTACCATACCAACTTACTTTTATAGCTACTTAAAGGTTTGTATTGCCATCAAGACAAATTTATATTTAAAGAAATATAACTGAAGGAATAAATAGAATCGTATACAGGATGTTCCGTTTAAAAGACCGATATCTCTAAAACAAAAAGATACATACCTACAGGGTGATTCACAACTTATCCAAAAAAAATTGGAAATGTATAGGTAATACTGAAATCCGATTACGATAGTTTTTAAATTAGTTTTTCTATAGTCTGTTTAGAAATGAAAGAGAGTAATAAAAGCTTATTATGTATGCAAATCGTAAATAAATGTAGTACTGGTGCTTATATTCAATATTTTTATATTATGTATTATCGGTATAGATGAGGTGTACTTTTAAAAAAACTTTGTGTGACCGGGTTGTACCAAATTGTAGCAGGTAGCTAAAATGTAATCCCCGACAATCCGTCTTTGTCTATGCCGCTTCAATGTCTCGGTCCATTTCTCTTATAAGTAAACAATATAAAAACAGCATTTCAAAACATGAGGCTACTTTAAGCATCATAACCGGGTTAAGAGGGTTTTTAGTAATTCAAATAAAATTATTCAATATTATTATCAAAATATTTATTTAAATTTAATGAATAGACTTTTATTCCACACAAAAATATATATATTTTGAAAATTCAAATTATGGTGAGTAAATGTAATGTTGTATAAATGTACAATAAAGAAAATAAAAAAGTAGGCATATTAAAATTCATCCTCTGAATATTCTGATGAATTATTTTCGTCTCCTAGATTGATAACGATAGGTTCCACAATAACGTCAATTAAATTTCAAGTTCCCACATTTTCTCCTCTTCTTTTTGTACATGATGTATACATCTTTGCCAGTTATCTGCAGTTACTCGTTCCAAGGAATTTTTTAACAAAATTTTCACGTCACTTAATTTAAACGTCGTATTATTTCGCGCTACATCTCCTTTTACCTGCGCCCAGACTAATTCGATTGGGTTAAGTTCACAGTGATAAGATGGTAACCGTAGTACCGTTATTTGGCAATTTGTTGCCATTTCATCGATAACATATTTTTTCTGATCTTTATTAAGATTGACAAGTGTCAAAAGCTCCTTTTTCGCCATATTTGTTTCAAAAGAAATGTTTTTTCCGGATAACCATTGAATTATATCGGCTTTCCTCCAAGCAGTCGTAGGCGTCCGCTCGGTCTGCCGTGAATGGTAACTGGCATTATCCATGACAATTACAGACCCCCGGAGGAATAAGATCCAACATTTGTGTAAAATACTCTTCGAAAACATCTGCGTTCATGTCTTCGTGATAGTCACATGTATTTTTAGATTCAAATAAAAGTAAACCGCCATCTACAAAACCACTGGCACTACCTATATGTGTCACTATTAATCTTCGCCCTTTACCTGAAGATGCCTTGAACCCTGTTGAAAGTCCATCCAAAAATGCTTGTCGAAAACTTTTTACATTTTTATCTTGCCATACTTTTGTTACAGTATATCCCTCGTTGACCCAAGTTTCGTCTAGATAATAAATATTCCTCCCTTCGTCACGGAATTTTCTAAATGATCTTATGTAGGATCTTCGCCAACAAATAATTTCATCTTTATTGATAAGAACTGACTTCCTGTTCTGCTTTTCCCAGCAAAAATTCAACTCTCGTAAGACGGCCCATAATTTGCTTCTACTGATTTTTGGCAAATCGTTGTCCTCTGAAAGTTCACTTAAAATTTTGTTTAGCGTTGGTATTTCTTTTTTAAAATAAAATGCCTGTACTTTTCTGCGAATGACATTTTTGAAGAAATCATCTGTAACGTCTTTTGACCTCCCTGTAGATGATTTTGGGGGATTTACAGCATCTTGTTCATTTTTTGTTTCCTTTAAAAGTCTGTAGATAGTCGATTTTCCAATCCCTGTCATTTTGGAACACTTTTCCACGATGTCGTCAACACTGTTGGTAGGATTTTGGTGTTTCGATGCATTAAATACATTTAATATAATAATCTTCTCATTCTGAGACAGCGCACATCTTTTCACGCGTTTAGCAGGTACGTAATCTGATAAGCTCGACATTTTACCCAAACAATATTATATCCACTGGCACAATAGTCACTAAACACAAGTCGAATTTTACTCTACTGCACTAGCACGTCTTCGTATATTCAGCTCTAAGACTGAATTGATCTGTCACAATACACTGGCTCCTGCCCTATGATGTATCCAGTAAAATATACTAGTGTAAACACCCATTACCTGTTAGCATTAGTGTTACCCGATAATTACCTGAAACGAAATATTACCACGCCCATGGCCGGTTCTTATCTCAGGGTTTTATTACTCACTTCATTTCCAAACAGACTATAGTGTCAAAAATGGTTTAGTCTCGGAGTAATGGATATCGTTTTAATTTATGGTGAAGCAAGACAACATGCATTTGTGTCAGTTCGTAAAAACTAGGTAAGACGGGCCCAAATGTGTTTACAAGTCGGTGGATAAAATTGTTATTGAAACATCAAGTATGTCAAATTAAAACCATAAATCAATTTTATTAATTAATAATAACAATAGCGGCAAAAGCATTTGAATTTGTTGATATAAAATAGGTGTTATAAAATTTTATTTATTTCTTTCCTTGGGAAAGAAATTCTTTCAATTTTTTGTCTGTTCATTTTTATTACACTTTTCCGGTGTGCCGGTTGCCGACTGCATGCTTTCCCTTGCGTAAAGTGAGGTTTTACAGTGGACCAGTTTCCAGTGCCGTGTATTTTTAAATCATTTTCGAATTGCCCTTTTTGATTTTTTTTACAAAATTGTATTTGTAAGTGTCCTTATACATTCAATTTTTTTTTAGATAGGTTCTGAATCACCTTGTATATAAGTTATGTAAAAATGTACAATGCACTTAAATTACATTAATTCTGAATACAAGGTAATAGTGATATAAATTGCGCAATGGGGCAAAGAAATGTTTTGTAGACAGGATCTTTAGAAAGTGATTTTCAAGATGTTTCAACCCAAAAGTATTAAAAAAAAAATCAAAATTACGTCATGCTTTGGAACTTATTACTATTATGAACATTTTGTTTCATTAAAAATCAGGTAGGTATTTTAAACAGCACAATTAATGTGCATGGGCGTAGCCAGGGGAGGGCAAGGGTGGGCACGGCCCCCCCTAGAGTGGTCGGTGCCCACCCCAGAAAAAAAAAACGATCTAATAATATCATGAAATAAAAAATATTCAAACAAGTAAGTAATCGTTCACTCAAGTAAGGAGAAAAAAATAACAATAAATAAGCAGCGGTAGCAGACGCAATAAAATGGACCATTAGCAAATGCAGTTGACGCATTTTTTAAATTGGATATGAAAAATGGAGAGGAGTTTATAAATAATTATAAAAATATATTAAAAATTGATACATCAGCTTTACATGCTGAAGCGATGGTGATGAAAAATATGCTTCAATTAAGGAATAATGAAGTAAATGCAGGAAATTTAAAAATGCACATTAAAAAGGAATACTGCCCTAACTTATATAAACTTTTACAAGCAGCAATGACACTTCCAGTGAACTCCGCCAGTTGTGAGAGAAGTTTTTCTGTCATGAGGAGAATAAAAACGTGGCTTAGAAGCACAATTCTTCAAGAACGATTCTCTAATATGTCACTGCTGCATATAGAAAGTGAAATTGTAAAAAATAAAATTTCTGCTCAAAAAGTGTTGGACCGATTTACTGAGAAAAAAAGAAAATTAAAACTTATTTAATTATTACTTTGTTGTTATTTAATGTTTTTGTGAGTACCTGTTTTAAGTTCATATCTATTAAAAATTAAAGTTGAATTAATAATGTGGTTTTTTTTGTCGGGCTAACCGGCTGACCAGCGGGCCCATTAAGTCCCACCCCAAGCGAAAATCCTAGCTACGCCCATGTTAATGTGAAAAAAGTTCCAAAGCACACTCAGGTTCAAATAGCTCAGCCACCAATTGAATTTTTTTTATAACACACAAGTTGCTCAGAATTTAAGAATTAATAACACCTATTCACATGCAATAATTTTAACACTATCTCGTAGTATTGGTACAGAGCCTTCATAAATGATTGCAAGCCACACGTGACCAGTAATTTTGTTTGGAACAGTAATTTTATTTCCTTCACGTTCGTAGTTAAATTTCGGTAAGTAAAATTAAAATTTATTAAAACAGTAAGATCTAGATTACATTAAAACACTGTCTGTTTCACCGACGAAATTTTATTCAACGAATCAGCTATTGCATTATCTCGAGCATATACACAACGGGGTTTGTCATTGTTCATTGTAAACGAATCATTAATATTGATGATGCTAAAATTTAGGGATTTTTAGTTGACAGTACCACAGTCGTGCAATGTTGAGTTGCCTAATAAGTTCGGCGGTCACGTAGCTTGTAATCATTTATGAAGGACCTGTATATTCATGAGGACATAATCAGAACCTTAAATTCAAATTTATAAAAGAAATAAAGAAAAGCAACTCTTAATTGCTCTTTAAGAATTTCCAACACCTGTTAATTTTTTTGGAAATAAATGACTTTCTCATCATTATAATTTATTCCCATACTGCCAAAAATTTAATTCAGTACCTAATAATCTGTATTCTATTGTACCTTTATACGTTGTTTTAAGAAAACTCCCATAGTCTTGAATGTTGGTTCTGAAGAAGACGTTTCCAGTCGTA